TCTTTGTGAATGTTAGCCATGGTTTTGTGTAAGGAAGCTTTAGGATCGATTTTTTGTTGGAATTAAGGCACTGTCATCGCCGGAAATCACAAAGAAACGAAATTTGTTTGTCGGTTGTTTTTTGGGTATATGGCTCAATTAAGCGATTTTGAAGGGTGGGGGCTCGTTTTCAAATTTCAAAATTTAAATAAACTTCCATTAATTATATTTTACCCACATATGTTTAAATCTTCTCAGTTTAACCCGTTTTACATGTTTAATGAATCCTAAGTGTGCCATGTCAGCTTTTCTAAATTAAAAAAAATTCAAAAATATTTTCAGGGTTATTTTTTTAAAATGCAAACTTGGGAGGTTCGAAGAGTTAAATTTCCTCTCTTTTTTATTCTTTTTTTTTTTCCTGCATTTTTGCACCACGATGTCCTAACAGTTGTGTTTATGTAGACGAATGTTTGAACTTTGAATTATGTTTCACAATATTTGAGTATAAGTAATACTACACCAAGCATCCTTTCTCACAAACTTTATCTCACAACCCTGATATGGCAGCTTGCAATTAATTAGCAGGACCCATGTGAGACCCATTGTGAACTGACCAATTGCGAGCTATCACATCAAGGTTGTGAGAGAAAATTTGTGAGAGAGGGTTGTTGGTGTAGTATTATTCTTTGAGTATATAATTATTTCATATATTAATAGAACAAGGGTGTAATTAGAATTTAATTTTTGTAGAGGTTAACATAATTTTTAAGTATATGCAGAAAGGAAATTATAAATGTTATTAATGTGAGGAAATTGCATTAATAAAAATGTATATATAGTTAATTTAATGAGTTTTATCATTCAAAATACATACTTTATTATAGAAAAAAAAAAAAAAAAAAACATGAAGACAGTACCCATATGATAAATTGAATTTTGTTATAATTTTATTTATAAGAAAAAAAATATTTTTAATACAAGAAATTAGGAGAAAATGAAGAAGGTGTCAAAAAAAAAAAAGAAATTAAAATTATTTATTAGAATTATAAGATATTTAAAATAAATCTTAAAAAATCTTAAAAATTATAACTTCCTTTTTACAAAGTTTGATAGGGGTGTGGTTTGATAATATCTCTACCATATATATTTAATTAATTTATTATCTAGTTAACACATAAATATGTTGTCTTAAGCTTTTTTTTTTTTTTTTTTATGATCGGGGTGTCTGATCAACTGCACGCACTTCAACTAATCCCTTGAGACCCTAGAACTATCGGTTGGGTAAGAATTCTTGTGACCACCCCTATTAGCAATGGCGGACCCATGATTTTTGCCAAGGGGGGCCCTTTGCAGCTCCACCATTGTTTTCCAATTAACTAGTGAAAACTTTTAAAAAATCATCAAACCTTGAGCAAAGAAAATAATACAATATCAAGAAGCTGAAAAAAAAAAAAAAAAAAAACATTACTTTCCTACTTGAATAAATTTATGAGAAGCAAAATCTTGAGCAAATGTGTTAAAAATAACATTCAATTCACAAGGAAATACAAGAAAATTTTATGTGAAAAAATCTCTTCAATATAAAGAAAATAAAAAACCCTAAACCTAAACCCTAAATCTTGACCTAATTTGCTTTCAATTCAAATTCTTCTCTTACCAATTGATGTTATTGATGTCTTATGAAAATTTGTGATGAAATTGGAAGGGAAGAAGCAAGGGCTGAATGGAAAATTCAGTTGAGTTATATGCACTTTTAGGGTGCATTTGGTTCAAGGAATGTTGAATTATTGGAATCTTATATTACCTTGAAGATTATTGGGAATCTTTAAGAAAAATTGTTTGGTTAGTTGGAATAAATAGGTGGGTATGCTATATTAATATGTTTAGTTAGGAGGAATAAATTGGTAAGTATGTTATTTAAATTACTAAATTGCCCACTTTTTAAATATTGATATAATATTATTTTTATTATTAATTTTTGAATAATTTTTTTAACCCCCAATATTTCAGATTTAGCTAAAATACCCCCACTTATATAAAACTTTGATTTATAACAAAATCACCCCCACCACCTTGTCGTCGCTTGCCGCCACCGTAAACCACCACCAGAAGTCGCCTAGAGTCGTCGAGAGTAGTCCACCATGACCAGGAGGCTCGGATATGGCCGTTTCTGGCCATATTGATGGCCGAAAACAGACATATCAGACTAGATCTAGTTGGAAATGGCTAGAATAGTTTTGGCCATTTCCAGCCAGATCCATGGCGTTAACGGCCAGATCTCGTCCAAACTGTCCGATAATGGCCAAGGATCTGGCCATATCTAGTCTGATTGGTTGTTTTCAACCATTAACATGTCTAAAAATGGTCATATCGAAGCCTCCCAGTGACTCTAAGTCATTTTTAACGACTCCGGCGACTTTTCAGTGGCTGTCTATGGTGGTTGGCCCGTTGTCGGCGGCGGTGGTCTGTAATTTGTTTTAAATATAAGGGCATTATTGTCCAAAAACTTAATTAAACAAGGGTAAAATTGTAATGGTGGATTAATGTAAATTGATCTTAAAACAAGGGTATTATTGTCTAAAATTTTTATTAATAAGGGATAGAATTGTAACAAAAAAAGATTACCTTGGTAATCTTACAATACCTAAGAAAATTGAGGTAATCCCTCCAATATTACCAATAGTAAGTACTATTGGTATTGAAAGATTACTGAAATCTTATATTACTTGACAACCAAACGTAGTAATCAAAGTAATATAATATAAGATGACATAACCCCAGTAATCTGATATTATCCCCAACCAAACGCCCCCTTAAAGTAATTTGATATAGGATTAAGTTCTTTAAAAATTAAATAGTAAACAATTTTGCTTGCTCTTCACACTAGATTGTCATGGTCAAAGTTCAATGAATGATTCAAATTGAATTATAGTCTGATTTTTTTTTTAATTATGTCACGTCCTTATCATTTGTTAGAGGATAGATTTGTGATAATAGTATAACATAATCATTCAAAATTGATTAAAATCAGGAAAAAATAATGATAATTATTAAGTATATTATTAGTTTATAATTATATTAATTTTTAATTTTTATTTCTATTTAAAATGGGTGTAAGTTACAATATGGAATCTTTTGTTAGTAGAGGAAATTGAAGTCTGTTAAGTAATTAATTAGATAAAGGGACAGACAGAAGGTAAGTATTGATGAAATGACAGTGAGATTAAGTCATAGAATTAAAAATCACAATTAATAGTGATTTGTGTGGTATATTATATAGGCTAAATTAGGGGGAAGGGGAGGACATAAATGTCAAATTAATAAAGATAGATAGAATCCCAAAGGATAAAGAGAGATTCTAGCGAAGACTTTTTCATAGAAAAAAATGTTTTTTATTTTATAATTTTTTATAAGAGTAAACGACATTTTCCCACCCAAGGTTTGGCAAATCTTCCAATTCCCACCCCTCACTTCATAAATTGCAGATTCCCACCCTTAAATTAACAGAAAACTATTTAATATAACAGTTAAAAGGGTAAAATGGTCATTTCAAAGGTAAAAATTTCAAAATAACCCTTGACTTCTCAAATTCACCCACCGGCGATTTCAATGCATTTCGGCCTGTTCTCGACACAGTCGACCTCTCTCGACACCACCATTACAATCCCCTTAAGCCCCACATCGAAACCCTAAACCTCCCCGCTTGATTGAACCACCAATCGTCGACTACTGCTCTTAGTTTCAATCAACGTTTCATCCAAATTTTGGTAGGTTTCGACACTAGAAACCACCCCTAACACCACCAATAGCTTCACCTACTTCCCCCCATCAAAACCCCCAACATCGCCAACTACAATTGCCAACAGATCGCCATCGTCTCTCCCTTAGGTTTTCGCGTTTTGTCGCACCTTTCCAGCCAAATTCCGACACCTTGCCGAGGTGTAATCAGGTGGAAAAGTTAGGGGTTTTGGTGAGGAGGATAAGGGGATGCTGATGATGGTGTTGGGGAGGTCCAATGGTGCTAGAATCAGGCCAGATTTCTGGCTTGGCCAGGATCCTCTAGGGTTTATTTAAGAGAAATTTGAGATGAAGTGGTTATTTTGAGGGAAAAGTAACGGTGTTAATTTAAGGGTGGGATTCTGCAATTTATGAAAGCAGTGGTGGGAACTTGCAGATTCACCAAACCTTCGGTGGGGAATTGTCGTTTACTTCTTTTTATAATTTGAGGGTAGGTCTGGGCCTACCCTTAAAGGGGCTAGGTCTGTCCCTACCTATTAAGGGTCAGAGAGACTCGAACTCAGGAGACCATGTTAGATCTGTCTTTTGGTCTTTTACTATAGAGATGAGTCGAACTTGGGAGACTATGTTAGATCCTTATTTGCTCTTTTATCATCAAGTCACCCAGTGGTAGTTTATCTTAACCTTCCGTTATCTAAAATTCTTTTTTCAATGAGGAATGGCTTTTTTTTTTTTTTTTTTTCTTCCTAAGAAAATTAAAGAAAAAAAAGTCCTTCAACAAGATTTTGATTGACATTAATGTAATTTGATTTTTTCACGAGGTGATGAGGGGGGGCTAGCTAGAAAGGGATGAAGCCATATTCTAGATTGAATTTATGATGAATACATCATACTCACACACGGGTTGTAAGTAATTCATTAGATGAATATCTTTACGAATGATTTTTAGGATGTAACTCTTCATGTTTTACATGAATAATATGTGTATTAATTTCTCTTTTGAGTGTTTTCAATATTCCTTATCCCATTCAGTGTGTGAATCTCACAATCCATAATTTACATGCAATAACCAAATATGTTGAGTAAAATTAATAACTCAAATAAATTAAAACCTAACTAGCTAGCAACTAATTAACTAGCAACTATCCAATATATTGCCGCTAACTGCTACACCTACGAATCTACGTGACTTATTTGATGATGAGATTAAAATTTTCCAATTTTCTCATTGAATTTCCCCTTTTCAGTGGCCCCTTCCTCCTCCTTCTTCATGTGTCCCTCGCTTTGCATTTAACTCTTCTTACTTTTCAACACCATTTCTTTTCCTTCTCTCATTACTCTTTTCAATTTTATCTCTTTAGTCTATACTCTTCTTTTCCTTCGTCACTTTCACTTTCAGCCATGCATCGTCACCGTTTCTTGATCTTGATAATGCTTCTTCTCCTTCTACTCGTCTTCTCCACTTCTGCAACTCGCCTTCCTAAACCGTCTTCTTCTCCAAGAAATTACCACTACAGTACTACTACTGATCATGATGATCATCATCATCAGCACCACCACCATTATTCTTGTGATTCTTTCTCTAATAAGAAGTCGCGTTTGTTGTGCATTCAACTTCAAAGAATTCACCACTCCCAGCCTCCTCCGTCCCCGCCACCGCCCTCCTCACCTAATGACCTTGACCCGATATACGGTGTAGACAAGAGACTCGTCCCCTCCGGACCAAACCCTCTTCACAATTGAGAGAAATTTCCACTCTCTCTTAACTTATAGTACTTTTTATCCCTACTTTCTTGAAGCATTTCTTGGAGATGACCAAAGTTACTACTGAAGAGAGGATTAATCTTTGGCATCATCAGTGGGTAATCATAGATCGTCAAGAAATTAAGAGCAGTTTAATTTCTGGTTAATACTGTTAATTATTGGATTTTCTTTTTCTTTTCCTGTTTCATTTGATTGGCATGTGATCATATGTATATGAGGTTGTTATTTCCATGCTTGTTTTTGGATTTATGGACGTTGTTTAGCAAGAATTAGTGTAGAAAATTTTGTGGGAATCGAATGGTGGAAGCAACAAAAACAATCATGGAAATAGTCTACCATTTTCCATTGGAGAAGATAAAGTTCAATAGAAACCCAGGAGTTTCATTAATTCTGAGGGCAAGACTGTCATTTTGGAAATCTGTTTTTACTATATTCATGTTTTTCATGTATAGTGCTGATTAATGGTATCAATATGAATTAATATTTTTTTGGTTAATTTATTTTTCTTATTTTATTATTATTATATATGTAGATATCTTGTAAATGAATGAATGAGCTGTGATTTTAGTTCTAGAACCAGTACGTACATGGGCAAAATGTGTTATGACTTTTCATTTGTGTGTTGCTGGCCAAAGCAACACAATTCTATTCATAGTATGAAATGTGTTATGACTTTGTTTTTTAGACTTATTTGAAAGCACTTTTTTGCTTAGCTGGGTTTCAAACGTTTTTTAGAAGCAGCGTGCTATTGAGCGGAAGTTAATTTCAACAACACTTATAACTGCTTTTTGTAAAGTACTACTTATTATATCACTTGATTTCTTTAATTAAAATATTTTTTTCAACAAAATAGACAGATTTTTTTTTTTTTTTTGGATATTTCAAAGTACTTTATTGGTTATCAACAACAATAACACCTGTCTTTTAAAACCCAACCCGGCCCGGTCGGTTGAGCCGAAACCCAGGGTCTTTACCGGGATGGGTTACCAATTTTATTATTCATGGCAAACCCTAGAAATTAGGACGATGATTAGCAAATAATTAGTGGCTGAGATGTTGTGGGTTTTGAAAAGGAAGGACTAGTGAGTCGAAATGTGGCGACGGAGGTGGTTTCCAGTGAGTAAAATGACCGAAAATCGCAAAACTAAATCAACAGCAACAGAGGGCTGTTACTAGTGATTGGCGAGGCAAAGAAGGGTGGGGTGAGGTGGGTTTTGTCTAGGAGGCTGAGGGGAGAGTTTTTGTGATAAGGTGTGTTGTCAATGTCAGAAATAGGCCCTCTTTGGCATAGGTTGTTGACGTCGATAGTGTAATTTAAGGTGTTTTTGTAAGATTTCAAACTTATAAGAATTTACAGATAATTTTAAGAGTGTTTTTCTTGGATTTTAAACTTTTTGCATGCTAAGATCACTGGTTAACCCGGACCTGTCCACTTTGCCAGGTTTCGCCCTAGACGAGTTTTAAATCCTTGAATAACACATATTATGTAAATTGATATAAAATTAAAATGATTTATGGCATTTTTGAATTGGTTCACCGCACAGAGTAAATGTGGAATTCTGAAGCTAAAAGCTGCCACGTAAATGCATGGGGACCCTGAATTCAAGGCTTTATATTACGCCAAACGAACACGCACTCACCCATAGTTTGCGATAAAAACAATGTGGTACCAAAAGTTTTGAAAATGACAATTACATACTTTCTGTTCAAATCTATTAATAAAATCCGCTTAAGTAAGGAGAATATAATAATTTTATATCCATTAATTTTAAATTAATCTATGAATCCCTAATTTTTTTTATTTCTTTTTTCGCTTCTCTCTCTTATCTTCTTCTTCATCTCTTCCGTCTCTTTCTTTCTTTTTCTGAGTCTTTCCCCTCCTCCCCTTTTCTTTTTTACTTTTCTTCTCCCTCTTTTCCCTTCTCTTTCTTTCCTTTCTTCTCCCTCTTTTCCCTCCTCCCCTTCTCTTTTTT